TTTGGGGGTGGGTTTTTTTGGTTGTTGTTAAAGGCATAACAAAGCGATTTTTAAGGGTATTCAGATCAGTGCCCCTTCCCAGTTGAATCTTTTTTTTCTGAGAAGGCCTTACCCTCGGAAACCTATCATTGGCTACTTGAGATGACCAGGTAGAAAAGTAAAATCATCTCCCTTCATTTTCTGACTGTGTTATACATACTTACCTACAATGTGTATGATATCTTAGCAGGGGTTTGAAAGAAGATAACATTTGGTAAAATTATGTAACCTCCACCATTTCCTTGTGTTTTTTGTTTTTCCAATTGAGAGAACTGCAGATTTTAGAACAAAGGTTCAGAATGTTCTAACTCTGTGTAAGTCGGGCTTTAGAAAAATTCCACCCTTACCTTTTCACAATTAGAAAGGTTATAAATAATGTATTTGGCTGAAAAGGAAGCTCAGCCTGTGGCAGATGGTATCATTCTAGAGGACGGGGGTTTCTGTGAAGATGGCACTCTTTCAGATCGGAACTTCAGCAGACTCACAGAAAGAACGGAGGCTCCTCATAGGGAGGAGACATGTGCTTTGCGGATTTGAGAAACGCTTACAACTTGGCTCCTAGGATGAGAATATTGTGTCACACTGGGGTTAGGAGACCCACAGCCAATTTCTGCCGACTTTCAAATTTTATTTCTCAACACTGGAAGCTGTGGCCTGTTTCTTGGTTGCTGAGCTCGATAGCATTTGAACTTGGGATTTCTACCGACTAAGTTTTGTCAGTTGGATTATTTTATTCCCAGAATATTGATGTTTTTATACTACTGGCCATTAAATAGGAAACTTGCCATACAAGTTGTATCTTTTTCAAAGTGTTTTGGAGAGCTCATATAAATAGAAAGAGAGCTGGAATAACATAACCACCCAGCATTGCAACTTCCGAGACATCTGTGTGGATGTATTTTGAAAAACCTAGGAAGGGATCTCTTGCAAATTAATGAACAAAGGTTCTTGAAACTATGGTTTCTGTGTGATGGCTAAAAACTGTGGATTTTAAAAGGTTCATGTGACAGGTCAGATGACTTTTCCTTTAACTTTTAGGGAAAAAGGAAGAAGGATGTCCTAGTGGCCTATAGTAATGACTTATTTCAGTGATCCCCTGTTGATCACTGTGCCTGCACCAAACCTGTGATGAGACCAGGCTGTATTGAAATAAGACCTATGGCTCCCTGATCTAGGAGAAAATAAACAACATGTCAGATGTGATGTGGCACTAGGGAAGTTAGGAAGGACCTCGTAGGAGCAGAGGTGCTCTAGAGATGTCCTGAAGGATAAGCAGCTGCTAGCCAGAGATGGGACTGGTTGTAGGTCTGTTGTCCAAGTCAGAGGAGTGGTGTGTGTATCTCTGATGTCAGCTGCCAGGTTCAGGCCAGCTTCAGAAAATACCTCCAAAGGGGAACATGAAAACACTTCCATTTAGTGTTTTTCCCTTGTTATTCCTTGACCACCTTCTTACTAATTTAATTAGTACATTTTTTTAGCCTTCATTAAGAAAATTTACTTGGCAAAAAATATATAATTTTCAGCATTTTATCTGATACTCTTCTGTTACTGACTAATCTACATGATCATATAATAAAAGCCCAATGAGGAGGAAGAGGCAGAGGGGTGTCATAGTAATTAATGTCCCATAAGATCCTGCTTGATACGTGCCAGGCTCTGTGCTAATTGCATCTCTCCCTTCTTCTTCTTTTTTTTTTCCCATTGTTTCCATTTTTTCCTAGTGACTTGCCCCATGCTTGGCACACAGTAGGAGTTAAATAAACGTATGCTAAGTGAATGAATGGGTGGAAAAATTCGTGAATGGCTTTTCAGAACAACCCCATGCAGTGAAAGCAACTATCATTTCCATGATAGAATTAGAGAATTGTGGTAGACTTGTGAATTAATTGACCCAAGGACACACTTCCAGTATGTGACACATTTTGCATTTGAATCCAGGTTTAATCTGCTCTATTTCATCAGATGAACATTCAGTTTGTAATTAATGTATGCCAAGCATTGTGCTAGAAAATAGTATGAAGCCCCAGTCTTAACACAGACTCATAGCTTAGTGCAATATTTTTTAAACCAACACTTCTTTTTGATTGACATTCAAAGTTTCTAGCATTTCTGTCTTAAAACATGGAAGTTGGTCTATTCTGTGTACATTCCCCATTGCCTCAAAGCATATTAGAATCTTGCCTTTCTGTTATTTGTGTCACAAAGACAACAGGTGTTTCTGATTTTCCAAATTTAAGATTGCAGTATTGAACTTGATCTTTCAAATGTTCTGTGCACCACAAGATTCTACAGTCTCTTTTCCCTGCAACTGAACTCACTAGTTTACTCAGATGTTGTGTGCAAGCCTGCAATAGGGATCTTATCAGGAGAAAAAAACACTTCATGAAGTGACTCTATGAGAAGTTTAGTTGTACAGATTCCTGCATATTGTTCCAATAAAGATAGAGTGACCAAAAATTATCTGAAGTAGGGAATATTTTCCAGCCCTGGAAAGTCTCAGAAAGATAGGGATTCTAAAAGTTGTTTTGGTGTGTGTTAGAACTTGTGGATTAATCCTTTGATTGGTGCCTTGCTTAGGCTAATATTTACATCAATCCGAGATTCCTAAGCACATACCACTTGACAGAATGGAAGAAAGCACCCAGAAAAACCACTTTAGGATAGAGCACACTTATTTCGGGTTAAACAAGGGCAGGGGAAGCATTGATGCTGATGCACATATGGATATTATTTTCCACATATGGATAATAATTAACTGCACACACTATTACATATGGCCTCTAGTTTTATAAAGATATTTCAGAATTTCTTTCACACACTATGAATTTTTCCTTTTCTCCCCCTGCATATTTTCCACTGTTGGTGTACTGAATCGCATTATATTGAAATGATCCACTAAATTATCTGTAAACTTCTTGTTGGGAGAGGCTGTGTTTTGCTCATCTTTGTATCCTTAGTACAGCAAGGCACATAGTAGGTATGCATCAAAGAGCAAATTTCATATATAGAAGTATTTGCAAACTGATCTAGATGGGATATTTGTTTTAAAAAAAACCTCAGCAAAATTTAGATATTCCATACATTTCTAAAAGTAGGAAATAAACTATATCTAAAATTTATATATACTATTATATTAACATGAGAAACTGTCAAAATGTCTAGGTAAAGAGTAATAATTTTTTTAAAAATTGGACCAAAGTGAGAGAGCCTCAACTGTCATCCATTTGCAGAATCACCATTATCCGTCAGAGATCTCAATAGTTTTATTACTGTCTAACTTTATTGATCCATTATTACAGAAGAGTAAGTGAGATTGAAGATGACGGATTGTTAACTGGATCAGGTAATCTTCTGGCTCAGGTTTTGGCAACCTTGCTAAGTGTCTTTTTGCACTGTGGACTGTGGGAGGAAGGCTCTTAGTGAAATTGCAAGCTATTGGATTAATGGCAGAGCATCATGAACACATTAAGAATGTCTTTTTAGAGAAATAATATGTGAAAATGACTATAAAGTAGAAAGTGTCAAAAAAAAAAAATCCCAGTGCCTCTTAGGAAAGATAGCCATCTTTTACATAAATAATGCAGCTCTAGCTGACCCATTCTCCCAGTTCTTCAGCAGTCCCCCAAATTTATACATTGCAGAAATATGTGCATGCTACAAAATTTACACTGATAATGGATGTCAGGAGAATTAGTAATAGCCCAAAGAGCTTTACATTAGACATAGTTTTAAAAAGATAATTATATAAAAATCCTTTTGTCCCCAGACTGGATTTTCTGGTTGTTCACTGACTTCCAAACAAGGCTGCTTCTGTAAACTATTTTCCCATAGAACAATCTAAGGCTGACATGTGAGTCCTCAGGTTTTTACTCCTAGGTTTGGGATGGATTGGTGCTGTGATCTCATTCCTAAAACTCCATAGAACGTTAAGTTAGCTGCTACTAGAGAATCGGATGTTGTGGTTTGAAAAACCAGGAATTAAGTCACTGAAATTACCATAACCAAAATTTCCTGGGAAGAAAACACTTCTGTTTGCTAAAATGGGATTTTTTTTTTAAAGCCCTTCTCCTAGTAATACATAAAAATCAATGTTTCTTCATATTTATATGTTAATTGTGTTCGGAGCTTCTGTTAAAAGCAAGATGAATAAAATGATAAAACAAGTTATTTTCTTACTTGGAGTATCCTTGAGAAATTTAGTAAGCACAAAATGTATACTTAAAGTTTTTATGGTCAGTTGAAATTCAAAACTCAAGCTTTATGAGATAGAGATAAAGCCAGCACTTAAGAGCGCAAGTTGTTTTCTTCTTCTGATAGAGGGTCTCTGTGAGTAGTTTGTTTCTTTTCAAATGTGATCAGTTAACCTTTGAACACTGCTAATGCTTCTGTTGAAATCCAAATAGTATAAGTGATGTTTCCTAAATTTGAATATGCATACTAATCCCCTGGGGATCTTGATAAAATACAGGTGTTAGTTGCCTTCCTCTGAGGTAGGCTCTCAAATTAGGCATTTCTAACAAGCTTCTAAGTGATGCCCTAGAAGCTTGTATGGTCTCTGGACCATAGTTTGAATAGCAAAAGGATACCTCAAGGTATCATATAATTGTGAATTGAAAGCAATGCCGTCTCGATGTATTTGGATTTATTGGGATCGGTAAGCATTTGACGGTCTAGGAATAGATGACATTGATGGAGATTGGGTAAATAATGCCAGAGCAAAGTCTTTGGGTTTGATTGCTTTATACTGGTCTCTGTGGGCTGTTGCTTGCTATTTAAATAAGCATTTGATGATCTACTTAATGAATTTTAAGAAGTTGAAGCTTTTGGCTAAAGTGTAAAACCAAAGTGTACTGAGACTCAGTTGATTTTTTTGTTGTTGTTTTAAAAACTACACAATTGCAGTCATTTCTGTGTTCTGTCTCATGCGCTGTGTTACAAATGTTCTCCCCCTCTTTGTGCAGAGTATGATTTCTTCCATTGTGAACAGCACTTACTATGCAAATGTCTCAGCAGCAAAATGTCAAGAATTTGGAAGGTGGTACAAACATTTCAAGAAGACAAAAGATATGATGGGTAAGCAAACACATGGAGCTGTGGTGGCTACATACCATGACAAGTCACATCTAAAGCCAGGTCTTTTGATAGCCCAATTAGAGATCAATTTAGAATACTTCTTTGGGGGTGGGAGTGGGTATAAGCATAATGAGATAATTAAATTCAATAAATGTTTGTGTTTAAATCAGCCAAACTGACTTGGTTGTCAGACATGCAGGAAATCGAGGCGTGAGGAGGGGAGCTGTCATGTTTTAACATCTCAGTGAAGACCTAACCAGGCCTTGAATAAGTAATATTAGCTGTGATTTCTCTCAGAGATAAAACATGCTTTAGGAATTTTTGCTTTTGTTTGAGAGAAACAGAAAGGACTAAGTTTAAAGAAAACGAAAATGGATTAAACTTATTAAAATTAAACTATATTTGTAGTTTCCATAATTGTGATGAATGATTTTTATAGCTGTAATCCCTGTGTATAGGTAAGCGTTTTGATTAGCACATTGCTTTACCATCTGCGTAGCAAAGCCATCATTGCATCATTCTAAACTTCTAATTCCGTTGCAGCATCCTATCTTAACGTGAAACTTTGGGTTAACATTTGCCACACAGGAAATAAGGCAAAATGATCTGTAGTGTAAATAACAGGTAAAGGCTGTGCGTTGGACCTAAGTGTTCAGATTATGGCATTTTCTCTGTGTTGAGCTTGTTAGTAATCACAGAGGAAACACTGGGATTAAGGTTAATGTTTTAATTTCTATTAATGTCCTCTCTTACATTCTTGTTCCTTCCAAATAATATGTGTTAAAATAAAATAGGAGTGGGATATTTAATATGCAAACATTATGTCTTGTTTTAAATCTATTTCTGTTTATCTTCATTACATTCATTTAACAGTAACATGAATAGCTTTTCCTAAAGATTTTAATAGATGAGAAACCCAAATTTTGAGCATGTTTTAACTTTTAATACTTGAAGAAAATCCATCCATCCACCAAAACATCTTTCCTTTTATAGCTTTGGGCTGTAATGAAGACAATGCATCATTTTTGGAGTAATTTTGCTTGAATTACTGTTCTCTGTGAATGGCCCACTTGGGCTGATATCACTGGTAGAAACTGAAGGTTTCTTTCTCAATTCTTAGTTATATTTTGCATATATCAGTGACTATAGCAATATGATAAGTTCCTCTAAATATAAAACCTGCATATTTAATGGAAAGGGAAATGATGATCAAACTCAAAATAGACTGTCTGTATGGGAAGTGTGGTGTAGATTTGGAAAGGCTTACCTGTTTACATTGAGCTTCATGCTCAGCCTTTCTAGTCAAGGACATCGAACCAGTTTCCTCTGTGTAGCAGCAAAGCATCAGATACCCTTAGACTAGCTGACTATAAGCCAGCCCACATAAGGGTTCTAGCCAGGGGAGAAACACTCACTCCAAGTAGGGGAAAGCAAATTGCAGAATCGTCACAGCATCACTATTGTTCCAGCCCCTTTCTTACAAGATTGTAGCTTCTGGTGATAGCTGTAGCTTCTTGAAAAAGCATTTGGGTCTTAGTTAGCAACACTGGGTAAAGTGGCTCCCTATGCAATAAATCACATACTTCATTCTGAGAAATATTTGCAGATAGGTCTATTGCTCATGATGATTAGGTTTAAATGAAACAAACTATTAAAGGTACTCAGTGCAATATTCAGCATAAGTCAGCTATTTATTATTATTATGCCCATTTTATTATATCTGTATTCTATTGACTACTTCTTTATATTTGCTGCTATTGCAGAGCTGAAGTAGGTAACATTTTGTCATTTTTTTCTTTCACACCTTTTGCCTAGATTACGAAAGTTAATACATATCATGAAATACTTGTAAATTTCTTTTATCTAGTTGATTGTAATTGTAGGCTTATTTTCTTAGTTTGGCTCACTGTTTGTAGTTACCTTTAAGAAAATTTTATTCTTTCTGAAGCCATTTTAAAATAAACATCATTGCTTGTAAGTCTACCTGGGGTAATAAGTGAGAACATGTAACAGTTTGATCGTAAAACCAATCACAAAGAATTTTGATATAATAGATTGTATGCCTAAAATCTGAACTGTACTTAAGAACAGAATCAGGAGTGTTGTCTCACTTCTCAAAGTTCGTAGAATTCTTTAGAAGAGGAAAACAAAAGCTCAGCTTAGTGAGTTCTGCCTTGAAATTGGCTTGACTTCTTTGACTCTGCAGTGTACCCTGTGCCAACTGTCTTTTTTTTTTTGGAAATCGCTACCAAGTCCTTTGTTGTTGTCTGAACATAATTTTACTTTTTGTCTACTTTAGTTGAAATGGATAGTCTTTCTGAACTATCCCAGCAAGGTGCCAACCATGTCAATTTTGGCCAGCAGCCGGTCCCAGGGAACACAGCCGAGCAGCCTCCGTCTCCCGCACAGCTCTCCCACGGAAGCCAGCCCTCTGTCCGGACCCCTCTTCCGAACCTGCACCCTGGGCTTGTGTCGACGCCTATCAGTCCTCAGTTGGTCAACCAGCAGCTTGTGATGGCCCAGCTGCTGAACCAGCAGTATGCAGTTAACAGACTTCTAGCCCAGCAATCCTTAAACCAACAGTACTTGAACCACCCTCCCCCTGTCAGTAGGTCTCTGAATAAGCCTTTGGAGCAACAGGTTTCAACAAACACAGAGGTGTCTTCTGAAATCTACCAGTGGGTACGGGATGAACTGAAACGAGCAGGAATCTCCCAGGCAGTATTTGCACGTGTGGCTTTTAACAGAACTCAGGTCAGTTTTGGTTTTGTTTTTTGTTTTTTTTAACTTGGAATTGGCTCTGCTCTCTTTCCCCTTTTCCTCTCTTCTTTCTTTAGCCCCATCTGGGCTGATGTTTATTCTTTTATTCTACTAACCTGTTGTCTTTCTCTTAATGCGATCATATTACTTGGTGGTACCTAAACTTGATCACTTCTTTCCTGATATAGCTCTTTTTGTTATCAAGGGAGAGCTGTGTTTAGGTTGATCCCAAGTCAGGAGCTTTTAAAAGAATGGATTAAGTGACAAAAATATTTCCAACTGGCATTACCAGTGCTCTTATGTAGTGAAATTATAAACTGTTAGTAATAGAAAGTTCAGGAAAGGGTATGGGTAGGATTCCAGGCTTCATGCAGTATTTCCATGTTTCCACTCATATCACATATCAGTATATAAATGTGCTTTGTTGAAGTTCTGTAACATTTTATTTTTAACACCTTGAAGCTCAGTAGCATTTACTTCTATGCAGCCATTTGGAAAAAAAAAAAAGATAATATGGCTTATTAACCCAAAATGTTTCTTAGCTTTGTCCTCTCCTTCATGTTATTGTAAATATTCTTCCAAATGTCATTCTTTATACTAGAGAGCACACTTTTTTCCACTAAGTCCAGATAGTAAATATTTTAGGTTTCGAGTACCATAAAATCCCTGCCACATGTAAAGTAATAAAAGTCTTAGATAGTAAAGGAATGGGTGTGGGTATGGTCGTATTTCAGTCTGTCTACAAAAAGGCCATGAGGTAGGAGTGGCCTGCAGGTCTTAGTTTGCAAACCCATTTTTAGACTTGCCCTTGAGATCTGCATTTGCCACTTCTGTTTACACCTTGTCCTCCTGTGCACGTTCCTTTGAGGGTTTAGAGGTGATGCAGGTTATAAGAAGTTGTAAGATACAGATATTTGAGGACTGGTGGAGTGGTTCAAGTGGTAGAGAACCTGCCTAGCAAGCATGAGGACCTGAGTTCAAACCCTAATACTGCCAAAAAAAAAAAAATTGAGAAGCCCTGAACAAATTGATTTTATTAAACTGTGGATAAGATTTTTTCTTTATTTGGAAACTAGTATGATATATATAGTGCCATTTTTTTAGCTAAGACACACTAAAAAATCAGAAGAACATGTAAATTTGATTAGATAGAGGACATAATGTCTTCTCAACTTTGTTTTGCCACAGCTCTTTCTTTTGCCAATTTATTTTTGTATTTTTGGCCTGACTCAAATATTGCTCTCATTTAGGTTATTTTGTTTATTACATGATTTTAAGAATAAAATTCTCGTACAAAAATAATCTATTCATTCCTTGTTGGCAGAATTTCTACACCTAGGAGAATCCAGCTGTAACTTATTGTTGGTTTGCCTTAACTATAATTAGGAGTTGGGGGGGCCTGACAAAGCCTTTAGTTAACAACTGTAATCATTAATATGACACCTTAATTCAGTTGGGGGATAATTATAAAAAAATAGAATGAACAAATCAAAAGTCAATCCTCTAGTACTTCTGTTTCTGGTACCATTCTTTATTTTATAAATACAGTAAATACTAGTAATTCTTAGACTGGACAAAAAATAGGACACTACATAAAAATCCAATAATACTTCTTGAATTCAATTAAAAGCCCACAAAGAAAACATAAAACATAGACACAAATTATAGATACACAGATTTACTGATAAGTGTTTGAAAAGCTGAGCAAATAGTATCTTAAAGCACTAAGGGAAGTGCATTGTGTGTAGTGAAGAAGGTTGAGAGAGTAGATCGAGGGAGAGGAGGGAAAGTCACCAGGCAGTAGTCTTTCTTCTGATTTTATGACTGTTTTTTCTGCCTTTGATCCTTACATTGAAAAAAATTGCACGAATGTTTATGTTTTACCATAAGAAAAGTAGAATTTTCTCTTTTTCTACTGGATTAATCTCTTTAAAAGGTAGTTATGTCTGTGGCTGATATCAGAAACAGTGATTTTATTTTTCTGATAGTGAGAAATATACCTTTTTTTCCTAATAGTAGCCATTTGGTGATAAAGGGTTGGTTTTAAACCTTTACATTGGTAATTGGTACTCCTCCAGAAATAGTTGGGCCATTTTTGAAACTGTTTGGTTTAAATATGACTGGTTTTATATGTATGTGTAAGTGTTCACTGGTTGAGAACTAGATTTTGCACACACAAGCATGTATGTATTTTCAGTGGTCATACTTAAAAATCACTCCCACGCACCCACACACAGCTGCATTTATTTTAATGATTATATATTCATATTAATGCATGTAGTGTGTTTATTTCAAAGTGTATGCATTTCAATAAAAGCAGGTGCAGAGAGAGTAGGGTGTGAGTGTGGAGTACGAAAATACACATGCTAATGCATATGTATAGGCAAGGAGCTCTGCAGAGTTAAATCGCACATCACACACTGGTGTGCACTTATTACAATGTGCAGCTCCATCCCGAGTTTAAACAGTTACTGTAAGCTACATATATAAAATGAAAACCGTAATACATGGTTGGATAAAGACATTACACTCTATGAACAGTATGTTGAAACATTAATGTCATAGATGGCATGGTTGTGAATTGAGAGTTCTTTTAGTTATTGACAGTTCTGAATAACTTTAAGATCCTGGATTTCAACTCTTAATTGAGAATTTTCTCGTCATCTTAATAGGTTTCCTAAATTAAAACATAATCCTCTCTTAAGACTTTCACACGTGATTTTTTTTTTAAAAGTCTACCAATTCTGAAAATTTATGGTGAAATTTTTATAATTACTTGTTTTAAGGAATTTCCCTCTTCTGAATTGATGGGCATATGTTCTTTAATTGCTGCTGAAGATACCAGCTTTTAGCATATGTCATTCATTCAGTCGTGTCTACTTGATGACTTTTTAATGGAACCTATGGCTAAATGTAATTGCCAAAGCTTCTCGATGTATACTTTTCAATTGACCTTTGTAATATTGCTATTTAAAGATAGTGATACAAGAAGATACATTCTTTAGTGTCCTACTTATAAAAAAATAAAATAAAATAAAACCCAGAGTTTAACTCTGATCACACTGTTGACTTTTCCTCTTTCTCCTCGCTTCTCTTGTCTTTGGCACACTTTATTTTCCAGTAAAATAAAGAATGAAGATGGATTATTCAAAACTGATAACAGTAATGGACCATCATGTAATGTTTTATTGAATTTGAGTTCTGTAAATTATGTGGTGGAGAGAAATTTGCCTGCTTAAGTATAACAGAAATTGCTACTGTGTTCCTATAATTCTTCACAGTGTAATTTAAGAAAAGTCCACTATCCATAGCACTATTGAATAAAAGGTAAAAAGGTGCTATTACCCCAACATGACAGCTCTCATTTAACCTACCAAAGGGCAGAGATAAATGCAGCTACTTATAACTTACTTGGCTTGAGTCCAAGGAGTGGGTGGAGTTTGAAAATCCTTTTTCACCTGAACATGTGACTAATAATTCACCAAACAGCAGAGGCAGGTAGCCTTGAAAAATATTGTACATAGGGAGATATTCTTTTTTAGGAGAGAGGTTTTATCAAATCATATTTTTTTTTTCCTAAGGGCTTTGAAGTTCCCTGGAGCTGATAAAATCTATTTGAATCAGTGATTATGTTCAAAGAGAAGACAAACGGGAGGCCAGACAGGCTTTTTGTTCAGATCGGCAGTCTCTTTCACTTATCTGCTGTTTTAAAGAATTCATAATTAGCTTTTGGAAGTACTGATAATATTTATTGAAGGTTTTTTCATTCTTTTACAATTACTAATGAATTTTTCTTGTAATAACTTGTAAACTATTGTTGGAATGTAAAAAAGAGGTTTAGGAATTCATCAGTAAATTCATTCTTTAATTGAAAAAAATTAGGATCTCACTTAACCCACTATGTAATGACAATGGAGAATAATTTTATGTTTTCATATATACAGCACACATCTAATTATTTGTAAGATGTGAAGTCCCAATGAAAGGCAGCTTTTCATTTCCAATAAAATTAATATTCATGAGGTGCTGGTAACTTTCTACATAATATACAAGTTCTCAAATTCTTTTTAGAAACAAGAATGACTAAGGATTTTGTTGAATTCAGTTCAACACATTTATTGAGCACCTATAGTGCACAATATTGATGGTATGTTTTTATCCTGGTGTTTCAGCATATTCAAAGCAAGTAAAGTATATGAGGAGCTTGACATACTATTTTTTTTTAGTATGAAGAAGAATTTTTGGTGGAAAAATTCCATAAATGTCAGTCATGAGGAATTAATGTAAATGACCTTGACCTGACACGTCTGTATTGCATTTTCAACTACAGAAAATGGGAAAGGGCTGGGAGGGGGGGGGCACATACATCTTGAATCCATAAGTGCAGCTATTCAAATAACAACGATCTGAATGATACTAAAACATGTACTCCTATATCTGGGCTCATAGCAGTCTTTTTGTATCCAGAATTATTTGAATGTGACATGACCTTTTTTTTTTTTTAATTAACACTAATCAAAACATTTTATAACAATATTTTCAAGCATTTCCACCAGGGGGCACTCCCCTCATTGAAAGCTTCAAGCCAAAAGAAAGGTTTGTGAAACACAAGAGTCCGTCTACACTGGCTGCTTTAGATCTCTTTGAGTGCCCCAGGGTTTGAAGCATTGCTCCATACCATCAGCATATTCTAAGCAAAGAAACCACACCTGTTTCAGTAAGATAAATGATTTAAGAGGAAATAAATGCTTTGCCACCACAGCACTTGTGTGCTTAATTGGGCAGGCATGCCAGTATCAAAATTCGGGCAGAGGGTAGAGAACTTTCTAAAATTTCCTATCTAAGCCACACCAGGGTGACTTAGACTCATATTAATAAGACTTGAGAGGCTATTATGGTGTATTTTTTCATGTGTCTCATTTTCTCACTGCAGTTCTCTGCTGTTACAGGAAACATTTCTGGTAGAAATATGGCAGTATGTGATAAATTATTTTGTCATTTACAATGTTTAAATGTCTAATTTCAAGTTTCTCAAATGTAAGAATATCCTAAGTATTTATAGAATATATTTCCCCTACTATGTTTTTTTAAATATTGAACAATTAGTGTAGAAAAACAACTCAGAAAGTACCACATAGCTGTAACTTTTCACTGACAGACCACCCTGAGGGATAATAATTATTGTTAGAATTCACCTGTGAGTAGCATAGAAATCATATTTCTGTCTTCTATTTGTAATTTTTTTCTTTTGTGGTCAGTATACACATAACAAATTGGTTTTATAAATATTTATCAAATACTTATGTGGTGGACCTTGTCCAGGGATGACAAAAATGACTATCATTAGACTCAAGGAATTTTTAACATTGTATTTATATGTATCCAGTATATGCATCTCTCTCTGCATTTCTGTGTAGTTGATGTATATTGCTTTGCCAAGCACTTGTTTATTTGTTTATTTTGAGACAGGATATGAGTATGTAGCCCAGGCTGGCCTTGAACTTAAGATCCTCTTACCTTTACCTTCTGAGTGCTAAGATTATAGTTATGAATCACCATACCTGGCTTCTAAACACATTTTTTTTTTTAAATAATATAACATTTGCTGGGGGGTGGGGCAAGCAAGGGCTATATCATTACACACCTATTTTTCAGACTTTTTTTTTTTTTTTACTGTGCCCTGTATGTTTTGGTTTCAGTATGACTCATCAGTAACAGCAAAACAGGCACCAGTGGGTCACAGATGTAATCTTCGCTACTTGGGAGGCTAAGATCAAGAGGATCATGGTTTGAGGCCAGCCTGTGGAAATTAAATAGTTTGTTTGACTGGCTTTTAGTTAATTTGAATAGATGTTTTGTTCTTGAGGAGACATAGGTACAGCATTACTTGTTGGTATCATGAATAAAAGAACATGTGCCCTTCATTCTTTTATCACATTTCTGTGGCAAAACTGAAAATACAGGTCCTATTTCTAGGCTTTGGGCAATAGACCAAGTGAGAAATTTCTTTAAAATTGACTTTCAGGACTTCAGAGTCCTTTGGAGGTTGGTTGGTTGTTTTGTTTTTTGTTTTTTAATGTCAACTTATAAGTCATTTTAAAAGTAGACAGTACTTTTATACTATCTGTAACAACTGTCATATTTAGTTAATATGGTACATTGTCTTGATAGATTGGAACAAAACCAGGTTTGTCCTTTGAGGAAATCATGAAAAAAAAAAACCCAAGTACTAAAACCATTGGCTCCATTGTTTTGACAAGACAATTTGCTTATCCTTTAACCATTTCAGTAGGGTTTTTGGAAAGTGGATTTGCAAATTATATAGAAATCTTGATGTAATTTTATTCTGAGCTGCACTGTGAGAATCTGGTATTTGGGCTAAGTGAAGAAGGCACTAGTGTTTTGATGTTCCAAGTGTTACTCCATGAACAAGATTGAAGAGCCCTTTGAACATGGTCAGCAGAACTTCCCAATCCTTCTGTTGTATCCCTAAACATACTAAGAAAGCCATCCATTTTTAAAAGAGTTCTTTGAAAAGTTAAAAAAAAAATAGTTGAGAACTGATGCTCTATTATTTAGGAAAGAAAGACCCCTTAAAGGAGACTTGTAATGGTTTGTGAATTTCTTCTGTTACTAATAATGATTTTTATTTCCTAAAAACTTAATAATTCTAAATTTTGATAATAGTTTTTTCCTTGGCATGCTCTGGTGAATTTTTGCAATGTGGAAGAATGGTTATGGATGTCAGATTTTTATCTATGGTTTCTGAAGTTCAAAATTTCAACTTGTTACCCAGTGGTACATTACAGCAAAATCATAGTTGGAGTCATTTGGCATAGTCTACACTTCCCTTGAAATGGCAAATTGAAACAGGCACTTGGTGCCATTTACTTGGATAATGTAAAGATTAAGAAATAACTTCAAATACTGCCTGCAAAAATATAGTGTAAATCTTAGGCCATACTTTAGTAATAGCTTGTTTGTTTTCAGATATATCACAGGTCATTCTCTTTAGTTCTATTACTGCTCTAGAAATGGCTTTGTATCTTTACATACTGAGCTGTTGGCATTTCCCTGCCTTTGTCTAGGCAGCTTGAGAACTGTATAGCTCAACATTGTTGTATTACAAGGATTTCATTTATTCTTAACTCCCCTCTATCGTCTCTTTGAACCACACCATGGCAAGTTAAACCTCTCAAAGGAAGGAGACCAATTAGGCAATTTCAGTTTATGTTATATGTAAAGCAGATGCTTAATAAAATTAAGAATACAATTGAGGCTCTCTCTCCTCTACCACTTCAATTGTAACTAATATATTCCTATGCAGAATTAATGCCTCTGACTGTTAATTTTCTAAACAGAGTGGAGAAGAGGGGAAATATTCCTCTCTTCTGGAATAGGGAGCAAGCTCACCTTGTCTTTTTCATTCCCTGTAGGGCTTGCTTTCAGAAATCCTCCGGAAGGAAGAGGACCCCAAGACTGCTTCCCAGTCATTGCTGGTAAACCTTCGGGCTATGCAGAATTTCTTGCAGTTACCAGAAGCGGAAAGAGACCGAATATACCAGGACGAAAGGGAAAGGAGCTTGAATGCAGCCTCAGCCATGGGCCCTGCCCCCCTGATAAGCACACCACCCAGCCGCCCTCCCCAGGTGCCTTCTCCTCTTCTTTGCTGTTCTTTCATTTTTCTTTTAAAGAAATGTTTAGGGAAGAACTTCAGCAAGAAATTAGATAAAGATTTTAAAGAGTTCACAGAGTTGCTTGAGGATAATTTGGTCCCAAAGCACTAATTGTGATATAAAAACAAAAAGCTACTAATTAGGTAGAGGAAAGGAAATTGCTTTTTGTTGCGTCTGTTCTTTGGGTTCTTTGGGGGTCAAGAAGTCTTTAAGTGAGTATTTGCTTCTACTACTGTTACTGAGTCAAGAAGTATTTAAAACTCAGTAGAACAGAAAAGAGTAAAGTTGGTTTTTATCTTACCAGTTTCAGAACAGCCATTTGAATTGTAAATAAATAAAAATAAATAAATAATTCCATTCGTATTTACGCTTTCCAATATGAACTGCAGCTGGTACCAATTACATATCATCTGATTTGTAATCTTTCATAATTAAGTTTAATACAATCCTTGAAGGCAGCTTTATATGGACTGATGTGTAATTCTATTCATATTCCCAGAAATGGGCACATTTTCTGTTTCTCCAGATTTTTTCATGTTTTTAGGAAGGAAAAAATTCACCCTTCAGGTAACTTTGTGTATATAAATCTGTACCATCTTTTTAAAATCAGGCTTTAAAAGTCTCATAACGACTATGAGAATTCAAGAATTAATTTTCAGTAGAAACTATTAGGTAAAAACTAGACCAGACTCAAAATCCACAAGCAAATGTATTTTCTTACATGCTTAATTTGTGGCATGTACACCTCTTAATATAAGGTCAACTAAAACTATATAAAAATTGAGTATGGAGCACAAATTCAAAGTATTCATATAACGTAATGTCATTGAAATTACATGTTGATTTCTTTTCATCGGTAGTAACAAAAAACCCATACGTTTCTAAGTACAGAAGTCTAGTAAAAGCTGGCTCAACACTAATGAATGAAAATGATGCAGAAACTGCATAAACAAGGACTAGACATAATATTCAGCCACTTGTTGAGGGTCTTGAACTGTTGATCATTATATTCTGAAATGATTACTTTTTAAAAATGTCACAAAAATCCATTTTCTTCAGCTTTAATGAAAATCAATCCGGACTTGAAGTCTACGAGAGATCAGGTGTAAGAACGTCATTGCTGTAATTATGAGTAAAAAAGTTCTGTTTCTCTATAGAAAAGATTGGCAGCTCTACATACCCACCTACACACACACACACACACATTTTACTGAGTTTGGTTTCCAAACCATTCTATAAAATAGTTCCTAAGAATGAGGAACTCTTTATATACGTGTATGACTTTTATAAGAGTGATTAAAAAATTGTCTGCCTTGGACTTAGTTTAACACTTTTTATTTTTTAACAGTGTTTCAAGTTAATACATACGCCATCACCAGCTAACTCTGCTCCTATAGTCATTCCTGACCTCTGACAGAGACTTATTTTGCTTATCACTGGATCTACAATGCTAATAAAAGAATTACTTAAGACCAATAGGAATTTCAACAATGAGCATCTTTTTAAATCTGCCACTTACTAGATTTAGTGATTCCTCAATACAGCTTTGGTTTTCTAATTTTTCTAGGATTTTGACTGTGTTACTTGTTTTCTAAACATGAATTTGTTATCCTTATTTGTTATCCTTATTTGTTTTTGTTTTTTAGCCAAAGTTACACTGATTCTTAAGTGATATTTTTTTTCATATACTTTTAAGATACTTTGGATGGCTTTCCTGTATATATGTATAAAGACAACATCTGTTGTGACAAATGGGATAGAAAATATATGTAATTTATTTTGGTCTGATGTCACCCTTAGCTGTACTTGTTTGTTCTGAAGAAGAGTGGAGACTAAGCCTTTAGCTGGGGTATTCAGGCAATGTAAAATATAAAGTATCTAGATTCCTAGTGAAATTCTTTCAAAGAAAATCTCCTGGTGCAGTATTACTGGCCATCTAACCAAATTCTGATGTGACTGTCTGATATATGTACATATATGTATCTCATTGCTCCACAGCGAAGCACGTTGCATTACTTAGTATTATAATAAAGCCCACTACCAGTTTGTTCACAGGAATTAAGTTTTAAGGAATTCTTGATATATTAAAGGTGTCATTGCAACATGAGTATTTCAGACTTGGGGGGAAAATCATGCTATAAAGCACTTAAATTAGTACTGTTTCTTAGTGTTTGAAATAGAATCCTTGAATTTGAACCTATATGCCACATAAAAAGTTTTAATAGGCTTACCACAAATTACTAAAACAGACAGGAAAAAGTAGAGGAAAACACAGATACCGAACAGACTTTATACCTTCTTTAATTTTATATTTTGCCAAGGAGTCTGGGTGAAATCTCTATACATTATCCTCCCTCCCCACAAAATGAAGATATTTGAAACATATTTTGAGAAAGATGGATTGAGCTGGAGTTGAACCTGAATTTCTTTCTAAAGAAGTGCAGGTTAAAGACTGAGGGCTCATGGAAGACCAAGGCAGCTTTAGGCCTGAGAGACTGAATTCTATTCCAGTTCCTTATAGGGTTTAGGCCTCATATAAAATGATTTGAAATACCCCTGAGTCTTACCAGAGTGAGTAGCTAAATTGTGAGGTCCTTGGATTCTAAGACATCTTCAAGAAAGGACTTCCCTGGCTTGGGGGAGTCCCAGGTATATTTCCTAGGAATACCTCAACCTGCAGAGACTTCAGCAGCCTCAGAAAACAGCATAGCTCTTGGCTGGTGCAGCCCAGGTTCCGAGCTTCCCGTACAGTCTTGTCCAGTGTGCTCTCTAGGGGCTTTGTTCTCTGCCTGAGGCAGAGAGCTCTAGGCCAGACCTGTTTGCCAAAAGTATATTTTCACAACTTGTATGCACTGATTCGAGAAGTAAGAATACCTTGCACTTGATAATGATTCACAGTTTTCTAAGCACCTTCTCATGCATTAATTCATTCACTCCTCATACCAACCTTAGCTGAGGGAAAAATGAGAAACACAAGTGAAAAGTTTAATTAAAATCTTCAAATCCTCTGTTAAGTCTGTTGCTCTTTCCTCTACCTCAAGTCACCTTCTCAAAACACAAACTTATTTTAGAAAGGGGAAAATGAAACTTGAAGTCCTTTTCTGTTTGTCATAGACGATGGGAAGTTGTATTGTTAAATTAGAAAGAGGAACACATTCGAGAACATTGTCCTGATGGAATAAATATTTGACACATGATCTACTTGGCAATGGTGTTTCTGGAATTGTGGAGAAAATACCCCTTCCAAACTTTGGTCGTAAGCAAATATCTGGGAGCTACCAATTCTAAAAGTTCTTTGATCTGAAAGATTTCTAACTGTGCTTTGTAAATTTTCCAACTGAGTTTCTTAGAGGAATTTTATTAATAATATTAGTTATTTTCTGCATGATTATTTCTACAGAACAGATCAGTTTTAAGTCGATGGTTTCTTACTTTGGTTTTATTCGTGTATTCTTGTACATGTGACTTTTGGAGTGAAATTAATGTTGCAATTTCAGTTTTCATAAGGACTGTTTGAAAGCACATAATTATCAAGTTATAACTTACACATGAATTATATAATCCTTTTTATATCTCTTCCTATAATTCTTTAGTTTCTTCTAAAGTAAGATATGATATTTTATAATAATGATTTAGAAAATGTACAAAGTTCATGTAAGGAATATCTCTTCCTTTCCCTGTCCTCTTTCTTCTCCACCTTCTCCTTTTTCTTCTCCTCCTCCTCCTTCTCCTCCTCTTCTCCCTTCTCTCTTTTGAGCCTGAGTTTCAGCTTTATAGCCCAAGCCAGCCTTGAATTTATGATCCTCTTGCCTCAGCCTCCAGAGTGCTAGATTACAGGCATATGCCACCATAACCAACAACAAATCCCTCCATGTTATAATGAAATATAGGTTCTTCATGCTTTCAGGTTCAGTTACAGACAGAATTTAACACCTGAGAAAGATTTATTTGTTATGGAAACTTGGAAAACATTTGCTTTAAAATCTTACTTACCTGCTTATAAAATACTTCCCATTAATAATCACCCTTTAAAGCCCATATCTAGAAACTAATTAATACCATTCCTACAAAAGTCAGAATTGTCTGAGATTAAACTATGGTGCTACGAAGAGTGTTAATATATAAAAATTTGAGAATAGGACTATTTTCTCTCACTAGTAAGCATGCCACAGAAAAGCACAGTCTTTACACGTAACTGAGGAAACATTTATAGTTGGCATACCTTGGAAAATGAATTCACGTTGCATTTTTAATATTAATTATAAAATCATTAGTTATTAAAACTTTAGGCATTAATGATCTAGTTTAACTTTCCTTTCTTTTTTCTTTCTTTCATTTCTTTGTTTCTTTTCCTGTCTTTTTTTGATATTTTGAGACAGGGTCTCTCCCCATGTACCCCAGGCTGGCCTTGAACTCACCGTCCTCCAGCCTCTAACTCCAAAGTGCTGAGATCACAGACATGTGCCACCTTACCTGGTGATAGATAAGAATTTTTCTAAGTAAAGGAGGTCCATATGGCAGCAGGAACTCTGCATAACTCCTTGATCTCTGAGATAAGATCTAGTGCCAGACAAACAGAAGTTCAGATCTTAGCCTTGTACCATGGACTAATTACATAATCCTTGTGTCATAACACAATTTTTAAGTTTTAAAATGGGGTAATCATAGTACCCGTGGTGGGCTGTTATATTGATTAAGATGTTAAACTACATAAACAGAGTGCCCAGCACAATAACTAATAAATGTCAGACTTCATTGTCATATTTATTTGAAGTACACAAAAGTTTACTTTTGTGTGAGAGCCCGTGCTTGTGGTCATCAAAGAGTAATGTGTTCACCAGTCAAGACCAGTAAAACCTCAAAGCATGATGTCATGTATTCAGCAATCCATAAAGAAGCAAAATAGAAAATGCGTGCTGTACTGCACAATTTTAGTGAAATGAAAAGCAGGTCCTAGTGCTGCACCCATCAGCACATGGGAGGCTAAGTAGCTCCTACTCTTAACCACTTCCCTGGCGCCTGGGTAATGATGGAGTAGTCCGCCTTACCTTGATAAAAGCTATTCCAAAGGCAACTGCATTTATTTCACCTCCTGTGCTATTTGTGGAGAAGAGTGAAGAGTAGTTTGTTTTGCCTGGAATGAACTACTTTATGAATTTTAATGTGTGATATAATATTAAAAGCTAAACCAGGATTAAAGAAGATTTTTTTTGTACTAAGCTAAAATAGTACTTAGTACAGTGAGGTATAAAAGATTTTTGTTTCCATTTTTACCTGGGGAAAAATTCAGCTTTCATATTTTGAAAAGCTGTCCAAGTGAGTTTCCCTTAAGCAATAGCTTGTGTTAGGAAAAAATGTGATTCCAGAATTCTGATAGCTTATCTATGATAAGATACATATCAGGGCCAAGGAGACCTTAGAGAAGAGTTTTTCTGAATATTTTTTAAATGAGTAATATAGACAGATACTTTTTAACATTCCATTTTGAAAGTTTTTTCCCTCACATTCTTTTTTTTCTCTTAAATGTTTATGCTTGTTTTCCACTTTTGTTTTGATTTTGTCGATTATTTGATTTTTTTATGATTTAGAATTCTTGCTTTGTGCTTCAAGTTGTAATGGCTTTATTTAAAAAATTAAAGAAATCTTAGAAACAGAATCACAGGGCGGAAACAAATAATTATAGCCCACCTCAAAGATAAGTCCTCCAATTTAATTTTTTTACAAAAGAATGAAAATTATTTTACAAACAGAGAACCTCAAGTTTCCAAAGCCTGCTCTTTTACCGTTGCTATGTGTAGTGCTACTACAGATCTGTTTCTTCCAAGGCCTTAACTTTGTGCCTTCATTTCCATAACATTCAATTTTCAAAGTGATTGAAAGGGCTTTTCTTTCCTCTTTCATTTAAGCAGTGAGAAAAATAGGTATTAAAAGGGACCCCATGGGGTGATCAAATCTATCCCTCTGCCTCAAAGCAAGACCACCCCAGAGCAAAGTTTCAAATCTCACCAAAGCAACTTTGTAGGCAATTTATGGTAATGCGTTAACTCTTCTGGCTCCTAAAGTGGTGTTTAGCAGATTATTGCTTCAAAGCCCTGTATGCTTCTTAGTGGTCTCCAGCCCTCAGTACACCTCTGTGAGCACCCTTGCTTCCTACCCCAGAGCTGGAAAGAAAGCCCTCGAGATGCAGCCTGCACTCCCATTCTCTCTCCAGGTGATAGTTCAGCCATGGTCACCTGTCTTGCCTCACCTGCTGTCCCCTTCAGGCCTGGGGTCCAGCCATTGCATAGCTTAGACTTTCCCTACATAGATGGGTAATCTTCCTGTCTCTAGATGAGCAAGAGGTGAGTTATTCTGCTCACTGGCTAGAAGTTAGAAGGATTCAGAAGGTACATTTCGAAGGAGACTTAATTGAATCTCCTCAGTTACCCTCTGCCCCTTCTCATGTTAAATATTTTGACATAAATGTGGAAGACTTGCAGTTTATCCTAAAATGTACTTCATTTCCTGTTGTTCATTGTTGGTAAGAGAATTTATGGATGAACATTCTAGAGGACAGAAACCTGGGTTCTGTAAAGGATCCTAACAAGTGAGACCATTAATGAATCATTGCTGAGGGAAACCTGGTCCTCTCTCTGTCCTAATGTTTCATTTACATTTCCATCAATTTCTCAGTAAAAATTCAGCTACATAGTTCATTTGCAGATTGACAAGTCTGGTTCACATAACTGAATAATAAAAATTAGATTTGGAGTTTAAATAATAATAGCATCAATAAATTTCAAGTTTGGAATATGATTTTCTCCCCAAAAGTTTGTGGCATTGTCCTGTTGATAGAGCTACTTATCATTATTATTAAAGGGCTAGTACTAATTTTTCTGCTCGGATAATGCATTTCAAAGATGTGTAAAGTCACTGATTATATATTTTGTGTAATTTACAGTACTGTTCTATTAAATGTTGTGAAACATTTTCTTATTGTCTGGTTTTGCAAGTCAAAAGGAAATAGTTCTATACAAGAGTGCCAGGAAAAGATGAAATAATTATACAGAACAGCTTGGACGTGCACGTGTAAAATGCAACCAGCCTTTATGATAATTAAGCAAGGCACTCTACCTGTTTCATGGATGGATAGAAGATTTAAATATGCAGTTTCTGCAAATGGCTTTGTTATGGAAGATTTTTAAAATGAAACATAAGAGGAAAAGGCATAAAAAAAAAGAGTCTAAAATTAAAAAGGCCATAGTCTATAATAGCTATTAGTGATGCAATTGTCTATTAGGCACTGGGCACCCAGTGAAGATATACCATCGTGCTTTATGATTTTAATTATGAATTTCCTTTGTTAGAATTGGAATGGAAGGTAATTGGGAGACAATTAGTTTAGGGTTTTCAAGTCTTTGAAACTATTCTGTTTTCCAGAAAACTTACTTTATGGTATTATAATTCCTGGTTGTCAGCTGGCAGTTGCTGTCACATTACCAATGCAATCACCTGTGACAATGTGACTTCTTTAACTTAAGCAGTCTGATCTCCAGGCAATAACTAATGTAGAATGACTGCACTGTTGATCACCTTGATTGTAAAAGGAGCAACAATGTCCGGTTTGGATGATGAACCTGAGAAGCTTCAAAACAATTTGGCCAATGAAAAATGACAGCCATGTTCGAACTATTTTGTAGGTGAAAACAGCTACTATTGCCACTGAGAGGAATGGGAAACCAGAGAACAATACCATGAACATTAATGCCTCCATTTATGATGAGATTCAGCAGGAAATGAAGCGTGCTAAAGTGTCCCAAGCACTCTTTGCAAAGGTGGCCGCTACCAAAAGCCAGGTAAGAGCCTCGATTAGGCATTGGGAATCTTTATCTGCGATGACGCCTGTGGCATTTTCATTAAAACAGGTGTCTGTTTCCATTGTGAACTTGCGTCACCGAGAGGTCACAATATCCAGGATTATGTGCTCTATTCTGCCAGGAAACAATGGGCAGATTGAGTACAGAAATGTGTGGTTAGTGTTCATCCAACAGCCACTCCTAGACCAAAGATTTCTCCTCAGTCCCCAAGCCAGTTAGTGGTTACCTTCAGAAGAATACCAAAATGTACAGAAAGTTTCTTAATCTATTGTATTATAATAGAGCAATGAAATTACTGTTGTTTCATTATTATTAGATGACCTTGATTTTTATTCTAAAATACTATGCCCATTATATATCTCTTCCATTCCAACTTAACTGTCTACAACTATTAGGTACAATTATTAAAATAAACCACCCACATACACATGTATCTTTGAATGATTTTAATCTTTCTGTATATCTGTACCAGGACATACAAATTGAATCACAATTAGAAAAACCTGTCCAACTCAGATGAGCTACAATTGAACAGACTTGAGTTGGGAAAGTTACAAAACTCTATAAAACAAAATAAAAACAAAGGATGGATAATACAGCCTTTTATCTGATCATAGTCATATATTGATAATTTTTAGTCATCAGAGTAGAATCATCTTTCAGAGCAAAACTCACAAATGTCTATAAGTGCTCCCCAAGCCAAGAGTACTTCGTAAAAGACCACAAAAACACTAAGCTCTTTTCCCCTTCACAAAAGGACTTCATAACACTATTAATGTGAAATTTAGAGGCAGGAAAGGGTACCAGATGAGATATGAATGACTTCAAATTTTACACAAGTATATTTTCATTGTCATTAATGAACTCTCTTTTATATAACATCCTGGCTGTTGTCAATTCGTGATAAAATGTATAATCCTGGAAGTACTTACAACACAATGTATTGATAACACAGTACCTTTTTAGATTTTTCTGAACTTTAATTCTATCAGCATTAATAGTAATACTTCACGGGAGCTTTGCTTTAGGAAAATGTTGCTCTTGTTTAAGTTATAGACTGGATGAAATACTTAAGGGATATCTTGGAAATGTTATATAAAAATGATTAAACTCAAGCTGTGGACTGTAAAAATTATAGCTTTATAGGCCACATGCCTGCCTACCCTTCAATCACTGTCAAAGTGATAATTTCTACAATAATATGTTTCTTTTATTGTGAGATTCTAAACATCAAGTGCTGTTTAAACATTAAACTGAATTGTTTATGTTAGTGCTATACTCAGAGTGTCATACATCAGGCCACCGTAATCTCTCATGGAATGTAAAATTCTGTCATGAATCATGGCTTGTATATCGGAAATTACTGTAATTTTGATTGGAAATTACAGGGCTCTTGAAATGTTTCTAATTATGATAGAATGTTAGAGCCGCTTCAAACCTGTGTGCTTCTTCAGATGTCTTCATTAACATGCCAAGACTACGCATTAAGGAGAAATGTCCTATATTCACTTTACCCACCCACCCTGCACATTCTTGTTTTGACTGTTTTGTCTAATTATGATGAGGATCTCTTATTTAAATATACATTTTCTTGCCTTTCTTTCTGATCCTACATCTTTTCTTCCTGACCTGTCCAATTACCAAGAATAACAGATTGCATTCCTACAAGAGCCAAGCACTTTCCCCGAATCTCCAAAATGGAGAAACTAAACATACATTAGTATAATCTGGTCAGCTATAAAACAAGACAAACAGAAATTAATATTAATGCTTTCCAGTAAGTATCATTTAGTCACCCATCATCTGTCATTTAATTCACTCTAGTGCACCTCCGCCCCATCCATTTCTTCTATGACAATCACAGAGCTCCCTGTGGTTATCAGTCTTTTGCTACCTTTGATTTTGTTCTTCTTGTAAATGACATCCTAGATTCTCCACCCTTGGGTCAAGGTACCAATTTTGGAACTCTTCAGAAAGTGGCAGCAGTTAGATAATACTGTCCATGTGTGTGATGTTCTTGGGACTTTTCAAACATACTTTTCTTCGTAGCTTTCCCTTCACAGATCCTAAGTCCATGCCTCAGCAGTGTTGATGGGCACCTTCTAAGCCTCTGCTCTGATGGTGTGTTTCCCAAGACTCCCTAGCCCCAAATTTTAGCTGGTCTCCTCATCACTAATTGAGAACGCCAGGGACCAGTTGCAGGCTATGGAGTCAACAAAATGGTGAACTTTCTCCCTTTGAGTAGTTATTACTAACTTCTAAGGTATTCTAACTTCCTAGTAGAGCATTTTTATAATTTTCTCTTGGTAAGAGAGTTCAAAAACTATATATATCCCTGACAGAAGAAATCTGACTAACAAGGAAAGGTGATCATTTACTTAGGTTCTAGTCTTCTGCCCTGATGTCTTGTAAAGGAAACAGAAAACCTAACAAACCAACCAAAATATCTTCAAGTCAAATTGGCCTTTTTTGTGGTCAAAATTTATAACTTCTAAGATAGTGATTTAGGCCTCAGACATGTGTGCCAGGGCTGGTCAGAGCGAAGAAGTGCTTCCCCAAGATCAAGTGTGTGTGAAGCAAGAAGAACCAGAGGTACTTCCATATCAACCCATCTTCCTCCATCTCACCCTGGTTGTCTGACCTGGCTTAACGGCCATTGCCACATTTGTGCTAGACCCTATCATATGTTGTAGATACCTACATTTAATTTAGTAACCCTGTGAGCTATGGTTATTTGCCTTAGTTTACACATGGTGTCACTCGTCATGAACTTGAGGGTTGAAGGCAGCATGAGTACTTCAGTTACACCCTGCTCAAGGAAAGATTAGGGGATATTGGACTACTTGACAGCAGCGAAGGCTTGCATGGATCACAGGCTCATGTTAACACATGAACCTCGTGGAGGTGGCTATAAATGGTAGAAGAGTTGAAGGAGGGCCAGGCTGTGTCCCTGGCACCATAATCTTAAGTCACTTGACCCTACATTTATATGGGAGGAGGTCACATGCTATGATGTATGCAGAACTTCTTTTAAGTTATACAGCACTAGGCACAAATGGATAACATTTTTTAATGTGCTAAGTAAGAGGTACAGTCCTCCACATGGAGAAGAGTGACTTATTTATCATGTATTTATGCATTTCAGATAGCGTCCATTTTAAAAGATAAAACAGGCTCTATATTGACTAATGCACAAAGTATTTTCAGTACAAGAAGAAACCAACTTGTGTGGTTTCTGCTATTTCACGTGTATTATATTATTTTTCTCTTTGATGAATAATAGAAATTAGATTGTTTCTAACTCTAATAGTAACGTCTGAATAAAATATGCAAGTAAAAACTGAAGGTAGGCTACTTTTTGTGCTTGGTTAGGAAAGCAGGCTAATGCAAACTTTAAAAAGATGATATGCTTTAAGCATAATGTGACTAGCTACAAATGAATACACTTTATATTCTGGGTATTCAAATAAGTAGCAGGTTTTGGGTTTTTTTTTTCCAAGTGACTCTTACTGGAATTTTATCAAACATTTTGTCTGATAACATTCAAATAATTATGAGAGCAGAATTTTCTAATTTTGCTGTTTAAAAAAATAGTTGATTTGGGTAATAACCATTAGGATATCAAGGTTCAGTTACTGTTCATTGGTTAGAGAATTTTCATATGGGAGATGGAAATGGAATTTTTTCCTTAATAGTGGCAGATGTTGGAATCTAATTTTATTCCACAGCAAACCCCTGGAGAGCTCTGAGACTTAAGGTGTGTCCAGCAAGGGGACATTAGCCACGCCGTAGGCCTTGCCTCGTACATGGAGCTGTTACATTGATTTTCATGTTGCCGAGGTGGGGCCAGCAGATACAGTGGCACAGACAGAACCGAGCTGAGGGCTTTTACAGCACCATGCTCGTGTTTAGGAAATGATTCCTCCCTCCTGCTTTACTGAACAGGGTTTTTCTTTCAGGTAAAGCAATTAGAACTAAGTAATGCAGATTTTATTTGACTGGACATACTTCCAGTATAATCTTTCGCAGCCTTTGTGAATTATAGGAGTCTGGACACTATAACTTCAGCTGGATTCACGGGTATTATTTTTAACACTTACAAAAAAAAATTCTGGCTGTGCAAAAATAGCACAACTCATAGAAGAGATGAAATAATTCGTTTTCTTTCTTCCATCTACTTCTCAGACGCTTTCGTCTTTGAGATTTGAGGCCTCTAGGATGAATGAGAAAAGAAAATAGGGAGAAAAAGAGAAAGAAAACTTTTCTGATTCTTAGCTTGGAAATTCTTAGATGGTGTTTGAAATGCCTTAAATGTAAGTAAGACATATGTCACCAACCAATGGATCTAAAAATACCAGGTTTTTTCCTGCTGGGAATTGGAATCTGTAGTGATAAAAATCCAGGAATAAAATCAGGTGACTCTGTACTCTGCATTCTAGCAGGTTAGGGAAGGCATCTTTTATTTTGTTAGAGTTAAGTTATGTTTCATGGAAGCCATGTTTGAAGCTGTGTGCTGATTCATTCTTCTGGAATGTTCAAGTAACAGACTTTTCTGCAACACGATTTCACCTGCATAGTCTCCTATTTAAGGCACACAGGAGGCCCTGCAGACTTGAGAGTCACAGTTTCTGTTATTTCTGGTGCCGTATCCTTTTGTAGCAGGCTGTGCAAAGAGCTGCTTCTGTTGGGCACAGGAAGGCTTCTTCAGCTCAGGTCTAAAGAGAACTATCCCTTTACCCCCTCTCCATCTAGTACCTCCTAAACCAGGTAGAGGAGACTCTGGGCAGGGCAACCTAGTTTCCCTGGATCCACTTGCTTAAAGGAGGAAGGGGCAAAGGGAACATTTGTGGAGAGAAGAAGGAGAGAAGTAAGGCAGCCCAGAGAATAACCCCTGCATCCATCTCAGCCATCTGCTGTGTTCAGTTTAACAGACATCTCTGGGACCCCTGTTCTTGAGTAAGAAGAACGTGGAGTTCACC